GAAAGGTTGAAAGGAAGGGGACGAAGTTCTTTCTATGAGGGAGAGCTGAAATGCCATCACAATACTTTCCCCCTCGAAAGATCTCAAGCCCAGGAGCTCACAGGCCTGGTGAAGCAGGAACTCCAGCTAATGGGACATCTGACTGTCCATGTTAAAGAACAAAAACTAAGTTCAGTACTTGAAAGAACCAGAAATACAGAGTCGGCTCTCAAAAACTGCCCACCCTATGAAACGGCAGAAATCCCAAGGTGCCTTCAAAATGGTGCAGAACCCCGAGCAGGAGATGAGAAGCCTAAAGCCCCCACCTGCAGTTCTTCAATCATGTTCTTCTTGTACTTGTAAATCCAGTGGGCCAGGTACAGGATAGGATCTGAGGGCCGATGCTCCGCAATTTCAGCAAGGCCTCCGGCTAAACAAGTGCCCAGGCTTTTTCTCAGGTAGGCGCTCTCCATGGTTGGTTCCCGAGTTTCTCTAGGTTAGAGAGATCTATTTAAAAAAAAAACACCCAAGTTGAATAATAAATCAATGTGTACTGTACATGACTTGGTGTTTCCATTACCAATTATTATAAGTTGTTTTGCTGAGCCTCTGATCAAAACACCATGAAGAAAAAGGAGGAGGAGGAGGAAGAGGAACAGGAGGAGGAGGAGGAGGAGGAGGAGGAGGAGGAGGAGGAGGAGGAGGGGAAGAGGAAGGAGGAGGAGGAGAAGAGGAGAGGGAGGGGGAAGGAGAAGGAGGAGGAGGCAAAGAAGAAGAAATTGTTGTTGTTATTATAAATAAAAAGAGGACTTTGAAATGAAGCCAAGATAGAAAACTTTTACCCTTTCAGAAATCAGTATTGGAGAACCCGCCTACAGTTGGGACTCCCCAACAGAATCTGGAATCCTGTTCAAACGGAAAACAAGCTAACTGCTACTTGAGCTCTGCTTAAGAGCATGGAAGGGCTACATACCTCCCAAAACCAGATCCACATTAGTTTGAAAAAGGAGCGTTATCCATTCAAAAACAAATCACAGAACATGTTCTTCTTGCTACTCTCTTCCATGCCTTGGGAGAAGCTTTGTGTGGAGAGCTAAGGATGAAGATGCTCCTTTTTGTATCTTAGCAACGGAGCAATGCTGAACCTCTCTAGACTCGCTCTATCTGATTTTGACCAGATATTATGCCTTGTGCCAGCAAGGGTGTGTGTGTGTGTGTGTGTGTGTGATATGTACCATACCTATGTGTTTATATTACATTTTTGCTGTATTAATCTCAAATCAGATCTTTGCGCAGATCGAGGGGAAGGCTATGGATGCTCACAGCTGAATTCACTACATGACTGATTATAAATTATTGCCTCCGTAAATTAATACAGGGTCATTTTTAAAGGCTACTTGTGATGAGAAGGAAAAATTGCTGGCTTCTTTTATGGATAATGATGTTATCAATATTGTGCATGTTTTTACCAATGTGATCAGGCAAGAAATTCATCCAAAATAAAGATGTCAACATTCACTCTTATTAACTATTGTTTGTACCCAAAATGGGTCCTAGCCTGGCATCAAAACCAATAAAGACACAAGGAATGGTATTTTCAGCTTCTTTCATTGGAATATTCTAGCAAAAGGGTCTCAGCAGCTATAGAAGCCAAGACCCCAAGCTATGCACAAATAAAATTTGATAAGAGTTATGATTATGGAAGTTAACACCCTAAGACATTGGTTCCTCTTGACACGTTTCTTTTGACTGGATTCTTCTACTTTACCCTATTTCTTCATACATGTTTATGTTAATAAAGCTTTCTTATCAAAAGAAGAGGTGTCTTTTGATATTATTATAAACTAGAGGTTACCAAAGGATATACATCTACGTGCTTTAGCTAGCATCCTTTTCTAGCGTGTCCTTCTAAATATTTTTTTTTTTAATATCATCCCGACCAAAACTGGATACAATATTCCAAGTGTGGTCTTGGAATATGGAATATGGAGTTTGGGGCACTGTGCTGGAGTGGCTTTCAAATTTCCTTGTATTTGTGGAATGCAATGACAATAAAGGTAAAATTCTAAATTCTAAAATAGGGCACCAGACTTTCCTTTGTTGTCTTTCTTGCAAGCCCAGGAAGGTTGTACAATGGAAGACCTGCCTTCCATTGTCTATCTCAGATTATGGTGTTGTCTTTCCACACCACCCCCTACCCCTTCCCCTGAGATCTGGGGGGGGGGGAATATCCTGCTGGGCCTAGAGGTGCTTGGTTGGGCCCCAGTGGAACAGCCCAGATGGGCATTTTTCCTAGCATCTGTAGATCTCCAAAGAGCCTTTCAGAAAGAGAGCTCCCTTGGAAAACGACTTCGCCTCCACGCATAGCAAGCAGCCTTCTCTGAGTTCTCAGGAAAAAAAGTGGAGTTTAAAAAAAAATGCATGCGATGTTCAGCAGGAAACAAACATTACACCCGGGAAAACAACGAATTGCATTTAAGCATCTTGTTTGGAAGTTAGTTTTTTTTTTTCTCCATTCTTTGCATCGCTTTTACGCCGGAGTTTTTAAGGCACGGCTTTTGTTTTTCTTTCTAAAGTTTCGTAAGCAAAACTCTCTCTTTCTTTTCCTCAATGGGACTCAGCAGCCAATGAGATTCTCCCTCCACCCCGGATTCACGCAGCTGAAGACTCCATGACGTCACGGGTCGGGTCACCACAAGGTGTTCGGTTGCCAGGCGACGAAGGAACACCGAGATCACGCGCAAGGAGCAAAAAAAAAAAAAAAAACTCCAAACCCTCCAGGTGTGAAGATTGCAATACGGTTAAAAAGGTATAAACGAGCGGTTGCAAGAGAGACAGGTTTCCTTCCCAGCCTGGTCTTTTTCAGAAGTTGCAGAAAGCGATCAGCCTACGAGTTTATTTCCGCCTGGAGGAATGAGAGCGCAAAGGATGCTAATTTGAAGGTCTCGAGTAGCTTCGTTCCTTCCGAATGAATTCTGAGTTCTAAAAGGTTCCGAAAAGGAGAATATTCACTGGGGTGTTAGATTCTTCTGATCAAAAAGGTGACCAAGTATTTTTCGTCATTAATTCTATCGTGGGACCCTGGGAAGTTGCTCCTTGCAACATTTTGGGAAGTCTTTTTTTTTTTTTCCTTGCAGAGTTTTATCTGGGTTGCAAATATATTTCTGGATTAGAGAGTGCCCTTTCATAGTTCTTTTCCAACAAGAGATGATGATTGATCATGATGATGATATGATATCCCTTCAGTTTGTGTCCAACCTGACGATTCTATGGGCCAGCTGCCCATATTTTTTTTTAAAAAAAATGACACTGGGCACTACAGCAAAAAATTACAAATGGAATAGACAGCAGATGAAATAAAACAGCAACAAAGCAGCCATCAATACAATACCATGGACTGTATTTGCAGTCAAATTCTCTTGTTTTCTTTTTTTTTTACACTTTTTTGCAAGATTCGTAGATTTCTTTGTCCATCACTCTGGGTGACATGATAGCAGTCTTCCAATATATTTGAGGGGCTGCCCCAAAGAAGGGGGAGGTCAACCTATCTTCCAAAGCACCCAAAGGCCAGACAAGTAACAATGGATGGAAACTGATCCAGGAGAGATTCAGCCTGGAAATAGGGAGAAATTTCATGACAGTGAGCACAATTAATCAATGCAATGTTCTTGACTTCGGAATTTGTGGGTTATCCAACATTGAAGGGTTTTAAGAAGAGATTGGACAGCTATCTGTTCAGAATTGTATAGGGGTTGGAGTAGAAGACGTCCAATGTGCCTTCCAACTCTCTTATTCAGTTATTCTTCTTGTGAATTTTGATTCTTCTACTTGTTAACTTGAGTATAGGTCTATTATTTTAGATCATGGGTGTCAAACTCATGGTGTCATGTTGCCATCATGTGATGTTTCATGGAACTGGGGTGGACATGGCCTGCATGTGATGCATCTGGCCCACAGGACACCCCTGGTTTAGATGATGATTTATGGGAGGTACAAAAAGAAATGCTATTCTTTGAAAATGGTGTCCAGCATAATGTCTTCTCCATAAGAACAAGTGAAGGCATGTAATTAGGACCTAGATTCATTCTAAGGGCTGTCCTGAAAACAATTTATTTTGCTTGTTTTATTTTGTTTTCCTGTAAACAGAGATCTTGATAGTTCATCCAGCCCCTTGGATCAATGCAGAGTGAAAGGCAAACGATGGGAATGGATACCAAATATTTCAAGGAAAACCTTGGAATGTGCTTGGCTGAAGGACTTGCAGAGGTGGCGGATCGCCGACCAATAGACCCCATCCGTTTCCTGGCCTCCTGGATATACAACTATAATGAAAATAGAAAGAAAGAAGAAAAGGTGATACACTTGAAAAAAACAAACACAAAGTTGAAGAAAGCTTGTCTCAACAATGATCAAATCAAATTGTCTTTTCCTCCCAATTTTCCTACCCCTTGTCCTCTTCTAGAAAAAGAGAGAAAAGGACCACCTAGAACTTCATTATGAAGAACTTCTTGCAGAGTTGGAGAATACAGAAAAGCTGAAGGCAGAAGAACTTCTGATGGCCCCAAAATTTGAAGAGCAGCAGGTCTGGTTCTCTTAATTTTACACTAGAGTACACCACAATACAATGGCCCCCATTTGGCTCATTGGTGTAATGAGAAAAATTATTGGGAGCAGTTGTAAAAAAAAACATATTAAAAAAAGTGTCTACTTAGAGGGTGGATGGATGGATGGATGCTAGATGGCTGAAGTAAACTGAATGCAGTTTTATTCTATAAAGGATCTTTTCCAAAAGCAAACAGAAGATACTCCTGAAAAATTAATGGAAATAGGTGGAGCATCACACCAACCTTTGAGAGAAGAGGTGACTGATGAGAAGGCAGATGAAGTGAGTACCTATTTTAACAAATGCACTTGACATACTATTACTAACAGCAAAATCGGGCCTTTTAAATTCACATTAAAATGGTTTTTACCTACTGGAAGTCTCCTACACCCTTTGTTTTGAGGTTCTTCACAAGTTCAGAGAACTGGGAGAGGTTAAGGACACCAGGTAAAACATGGAGCATTTCATTCAGGAGGATTTACAGATATACAGATTAACAGAGTTGGGAGGGACCTTGTAGGTCATTTAGCATTGTTGCTTTCTTGCCTTGATGGATAAATCCATTCAGTTCTAAAACTCTGTATAGAATCTGCAACTTAGATTTTGTGCAAGCTTAGTTCTTGTTCTTATTTTGAAGAATTGGAATCGGTCTTGTTTAAGCCTAGGGTGATGGAATATCTAGCAGTCTTTGAGAACATAGAGGAGGGCCATTACAGAAAATATTTCTTGTTCCAAAGTAGGAAAAAAGTATGAGAAAGAGGCTCATAGCAATCCTGCCTTGATTGCACTGGGTGTAAGTGGAGCTGGACAATTGTTTTGGAGGCTTTCTAGATTGTTGTAAAGACCTTCAAGATTTTTAGGCAGGAATTAAAAAACCACTTGGATTTCTAGAGTGATCTTGTTTGCTAGTAGGGTAATGTAGCAGAATCTTGAAAAGCTAGACTAATAAAGATTGGGTTGAGAAGAGGGATTTTAATAACGTATTCATGTAGATGAAACTAATTTTCAATCATAGACAACAACTGGAGAAAAGGTTGGAAACATGCCAGAAGAATATGAAACTAAGTCAACGCAAGAGATGTTAGAAAACAGAGTAGATCAGGATGACTTCAATGTTGTGATAAATGAGTTGGATGAACAACCAGGCCAGGTAAGTCCTAGTTTAATGTTCCAGGAAGCCTTGTTGGGAACTGCTGCAGATGAAGATTTAAATCCCAAAGCCTTGGATGACAAAGGCGAAGACCAGTTGGAACAAGACATAGCAGCTGAGAAGGAGAATGAAGTACAAGCTGAAGGTGACACTCAGGCTGAGAAAGACACATCTGCTCAGGATGGGAATTTGGAGTAATTCCATAATTCATGTATACTTGGAAGAAGATCCTGCTGTCTTCAAAATGTTTTGTGTGAAGGCTTTGTTTCACAAAGAAGGTAATCTAAAAACGATGAAAATCTTTTGGGTGTGTGATATACCTTTCCAGTATAGTTGCACTGGGATGTTATATGGATAAGACTGATCATCACATGGTAACAAGTCCTAGGAAAGTACGTGTACAATGTGACTCTTTAAACACCTGCTGTGTTCTTGTGACTTTTGTTTTTGTGCTTTTATCTGTTGGAAGGAATGGTGTCTTATCTACAACTGGAAATCTTGTTTTACAATTGATTGCAAACAAAGCTCAATAAGCAGAAAGATTCTTGCACAATCACACTTATGGGTGATTTGGGAAGGAATTCTCACAGTCATGGTGGACACAGTTCACACAAGACATTTTGTATGCGTGTAGAACTATCCCCAATCCACACCCACACATTATAGATGAGCGACACTGATTTGGAGACACACTATATCAACTTGTGGCTCTGTATATAAGGCGTGTGTATATTCTACACATTCAGAGGTACAGGAGCATATAAAGTGTCTCTAACACAGTATCAGCATCTCTAAGACCTACGTTCACACAAAATATTGAGTATTTTTCTGTGATTAATTGGCTACTTTTGAACATAATCCATTTCATTGTGGTTCAGTGCAAACCCAGAAAGTGAACTAATTCCTAAACCAGGTTAAGGGTATGAATATGAATGTACAGGCATACTTTCTAAAAAAAAAAACATGTTGTCAGGTAAAGTATTCAGTAGAACACTTATTCAATCTTCCAAGCCAATTGTCATTAAAAGTAGTAGCCATCTGCCTTCATTTTTTGAAAGAATATTGCAGATAAATACTTCTTTTAAATGGTGATTTTTTTGGAGATCAAAAAACTATTCTTAAATATACCAAAATGGCTTTTTTTTAGTCCTATGCTGTTGTATTTAGAAATAAGACATTGTAATGAACTTTTGATTATTCTTATGGATCAGCAGTGTTTGAAAAGTAGCCCAGTTTCCCCTTCTGTTATATCACTTTGATTTTTATTATGTGTATAATGATAGTCCTTGACCTACAATGATTTGTTTAGTGACCATTCAAGGTTACAACCAGAAGTGGTATTCAGCAGGTTCTGACCAGTTCTGGGGAACCAGTAGTGGAAATTTTGAGTAATTCGAAGTACCGGCAAATCCCACCTCTGACTGGCCCAACTCCCACCTATTCTTTTGTTGCTCTGCACAGGAGAACAGAGCTGGAAAGCAGGTGGAGAGGGAATGGGGATTTTGCAGTATATCCTTCCCCTGCCACGCCCACCAAGCCACACCCACAGAACCGGTAGTAAAAAAATTTGAATCCCACCACTGGTTACAACAGCATTCAAAATGGGACTTTTGACCTGGCTTGCACTAACAATTGGTGCAGCATTTCCACAGTTCCATGATCAAAATTTGGGCACTTGGCAACTGGCATGTATTGATGGTAGTTGCAGTGTACCAAGGTCATAGGTGATCTTTCCAACTGGTTTCCAACAAAAAAAAAGTCAACGGGGGAAGGCATATTCACTTAACAACCAACTTACTTAAGTGATTCGCTTAACAACTGTCGCAAAAAAGGTCATAAAACCGGGTGAACTCACTAACGGCTGCCTTGCTTAGCAATGTAACTTCTACTTTCAATTGTGTTCATAAGTCGAAGCATTTTTGTTTAGCTTTTCAATGTTCAACAACATTTCTTTTAGCGATAAGATAGTCCATTTCCATTGTCCAGTTGCCAATTTGCATATGGTACGTATATGAGTCAAAAGACACAGGCATCTTACAGTGTTCAAACTCAAATTAATATATGCAATGTCTTCTTCCAATAATACATTTTAGCATATTCCAAAAGCATATACTTGACCAAAGTCATACTGTATCCTCACTGAGAATATCAACAGTAACTTTGTCTATTTTCTGTACAAATGCAGTAGAGTCCAGTAAGTTAAATATGTTTTGTGTTGAATAAAATGTAGTCTAAGGTTTATCAAATGTTTCCAGATAGAATTCACCATTGCTTGGATAAAGTGGGAATTTCCAATTGCCTTTTCTATTCAGTCTTTAAAATGTATGTATCAAATTAAAGTATCAGCAGATATTTGTAAACACTCTTTGTTGGGATTTTTAGTTTCATTAAAACTTGGTAATCACTTGTAATAATTTAGATGCTCATGAAGCTGTAAGTACCATTTATTCAAATCAAGATGTTCAAAATGTTCAATAAATGTTGTTCAAATTTAAAAATCATAAAAGTACATCTGTTCCTTACAGATATATACATGTGGACAATTAGAAGGAAATATGCTTATGCTTTAGTGATTTTTTTGTATAAATATCTATATGCTGTAAGAGCTATCATGCATACATGAGATAGCTTTGTGTGTATACACTATTGTTTATTTAAACAAAAATATTATGTCCAGAATAAAAATACCCTTTGAAGAATAAAAACATTGTGATTCTTTTCTTTCTCTTCTACTAAATCTTTTAAAATTGATGGCATCATTAACAACTATATCAATAGTTATGCTCTTTGAAGGGTCATTATTAAATATTGTATGACTTGACTTCACATAAAATACATGAAGATTTCCACCGATAATGGTTGTGCTTGTAACAAATTGTTCAGTTGTATAGTCATGAACACTTGTAATTCATTCATACTCATAACATAATTGGTACAGATCTGTACATATTTCAGCCTTTAATGATGGTTTTGCAAAGATTTGGTTGCAATTCACAAGATGGTCATTTCTGGTTTGCATAACATGTTGCAGCAATAGCTTTATTCAACTGTTTTCCATAGTCATAAAGTGAGACTATTAGGTGAAGCATAAACTACAAATTGCCTTGTAAGGGAGATGGGTGGTGTAAAAATTTAATAAATAAAAATAATGATCAGTTTTCCCTTTCCCTTTTTAACATTATAATGTGCTATAACTTGGAATTGTCTCCAGCCTTGGGAAAAACATTGCTTGGAAAAGAAAAAAGCATAGAGAAACTGGATAGCTGTATACAAAAGCCGAAGAGAATATATTAAAGTCAATAAAAGTCAACTTGAGTAGCGTCAATATTGCTTTAGAAAATCAAACCTCATCTTAAGATATAACATCCTCTTTCTTCAGTATAGTATTGCACATTTTATAATTTTCCCATATATTGTTTATGCCACTGTCAGCCAGATGGGGTCGCTAAAGTTTAATAATCCAGGAATTCATCATTTCACCCCCTTGCTCTAATCTGCTAGAGAACCTGCAGTTATAAAGATATTATTTGCAAAAAGTGTCTTAAAACAGATAAGATGGCATAAGCTGCAAATCTAAATCATCAGGCATAGCTTAACCAATATAGGCCGTTTACCCTGTGTCAGCTTCCTTGAGAAGACTTTGTATTAGCTGAGCTGTAAAATATATGTATATACATATATATTTAATTCCAAAATATTTGTAGGAAGATATGAAAGTCCCAGGGCAAATACGGTATATGAGCACCAAGATTGATCATTTATTCCTAGATTTACTGATTGATGGGCTTACAAGTGTTGAAAACGTAAGAATGGTTTGGTGTATGTTTCACTCAGTATAAGAAAAGCTTTATCTGATATTGTTTTTAAGAATTTTTAGTCTTCTGGATAACTTGGCGCAGTTGGTCCATCTTCCTTCGTGTCCGTTAGTCAATCATGGTATAAAACTGATCCCTGTATGATTTTGGCCCCTTTTTTTCCCAAGCCAAAAAATATTTCATACTTTCGTATATTGGTATGAATAGCTTGTTTTTCCAACAGGAATTAATCTAACTTTGACAGAGTTTCATTTTGTATCTAATTGACAATTGTACCCATCAAGAGAAAGTAACACTTGTAAACTTGTAAAACACTTTTTTATTTTGTTGTGCAAAATGGATACAACCAATCTGTAGAAACATCAACCTGTCTAAGTCCAGCCTAGTGTCTTGTGGGTTTTTCCACCCTGAATTTCACAGTTCAGCTCATATCTTTCAGCTATTAACAAGGTGCAATCCATGTTTTGTTTTCAAAATCCGGTAAGAATATAATCCAATCAAGAGTGAATTGATGTGAAGCTTTGTGCATACACTGCACTTCAGTACTCAAAACAGCATCCATTATTTCATTAAATTCCAAACATTTCCCCCACGTTTGGAAGACATTGATCAGACACCGAACAGCCTGAGCAAACACTATTATTCGGATCACAGTGCTGGAAGTTGAAAAAGTCTCTTTGAGGTATGGCTCCAAACTTGGTTACTGTTGATAATGTTGCATGCTAATGTCACCATTCTTTCCAAGAAAACTGCATGGGCTTAGTTGAAGCTGCGTTTGCGCATGCGCAAGGATTCAAACTTGAGCGCTTGGCAATCGCCTAGCGGCGGGAAAACGCTCCTGCGCAGGCGCACGGCAGGGAAAGCGAAGGCCCGTTTTCTGAAATTATGGCGGGCGCCGCCACTTGCTTTGCCGAGACGCGGGTGGGGCAGGTGGTCATGCCGGGGGAAGCGTTGCTCTTGCCCGGCCAGGGCGAGGTGGACGGCGAGCGGCTGCGCCTGACTACGAGCGGGCCGCAGAAGGGGCGGCTGGTTTGCGGGCCGGGCTTGAGACGCGGCGCCGACGGCCTGCTAGTCACCAAATGCGGCCTGCTGCGCTACCGTAGCCATTCCGCCCCGACCGGAAGTGGGAGCGGAAGTAGTTCCGGGGGAACCTATTGGGTGGACTCACAACAGAAACGGGTAAGAAGGCCGCGCGTGCGCAGTTCGGGGGCTGGCTCTACTGGCAGCCCCAGTTATCTGCAGATGAGTGCCTGGCTATGCTATGAAAACGGAGGAAGAGAATAAAATATTATACACTGCAATTTTGTGTTAAATTAATTATATTAAATTATATATTGTGACATATATAGTTATATAAAATGTAGTTTATATAAAATATGTAACTGATATAAATTTATATAATATATTTAATTTTTTTATAAATGTATAATTGATATCTACATATTAAATTATATACAAACACAGATACACACACATAAAGATTGATATGGATGGATACATAGATTATCTGTCTCTATGTGTCTATATACATCCATCTCAATCTATCTTTTTCCTATCTATCTATTATCTATCATCTACCATCTATTATCTACCATATGTCATCTATCATCTACCTGTCTGTCTACCTACCTACCTACCCATCCATCCATCCATCCATCTATCCAACCATATCTTGCTATCTGCCTATCCATCATTATCTATCTATCTATC